TATCTCAGTGCCACACACACCAAAACAAAACTAAACTAAAACTAAAAAAAAAAAAAAAAAAAAAAAACAAATGCAGTTAGTGGATGGGTATGGCGGTACAGGTTGTAATCCCAGCGCTTAAGAAGCGGAGGCAGGAGGCCAGGCCTCAGACTATGAGGCCAGCTTGAGTTACTTGAGATCCTGTCTCAAACCAAAACACAACGTAATAAAACCTTAACCAGGAATTACAATTAGTATGTGTGCTTACATGTCATTTCAAACACGTTTATCTGTGGGGTACATTTATGATTATCATTTATTCAAGACACATTTTTAGAATTGAAATTCCTGAGACAATTTTTAAAAGGCTTATTTTCTACTTGTGTGTGTGTGTGTGTGTGTATGCATTTATTGGCGTATGTTTGTGCAGACAACCACGGAGGCCAGAGAGGGTGTTAGAACCCCTGGAGCAGGAGATGCGGGATTCTAAGTTGTGTAACACAGTCACGGGGAACCAAACACCGGTCCTCTCTCTGCGAGAGCAGAGAAAGCTCTTTTAGTTGCTAAGCCATCTCTCCAACTTTGAGACAATTTTTTTAGATTTATTTACTTATTTTATGTAGATGAGTGCTCTATCTTCATGTACACCTGCATGCCAGAAGAAGGTATCAGATCCCAGTATAGTTGGTTGTGAGCTACCACGTGATTGCTGGGAATTGAACTCAGGACCTCTGGAAGAGCTCTTAGCCACTGAGCCATCTCCCCAGCCCTTAAGACAATTTTTTTTTGACAATTTTCAATACGACTGTAAAACTGCCATCTCTCTGCCTCTTTCATTCATCCTCATATCCACACCAGTGAGAATCCTGGGACCTCCGACCCTGGCGGTGGATTTGCTTAGCAGTGCAGCACTCAGTGGTTAGTGGTGTTTTGGTTGTGAAGGAGACCAAGCCCATGCTGCTCTTAAGAACCTTCTAGACTGGACAGGCTGGAGTGAGTTACAATAGACAACTGGTCAACCTTCATTTAAAGTGTAAACCAAACAAGCCACTGGCAGAATATGATGAGGAAGCTCCCTAGGCTTCTAACCCTGTGACCAGCTTAGGCTATGTATTTTGTGAGAGTAAAACCAAATAAATAACCTGAGCATGATGGTCCCTGATTGTAGTAGAAGCTTCTGCATTAATTGGTGGCAGAGGACTGCTTGAGCTGGGGGGTTTGGGGCCAGCCTAGACAACAGGACACAAAACATTTAAAACATTTAAAGTTTTTCAGCAGGCTCGCCTGTTATGATACCTCCAGGTGAAGAAGAAGCCAAATGCTTCTTTGGCTAGGTCTATTTCTCATCATCTCCAGAGGAACATAGAAAGACTCTTTGTTAGCTGGGCATGGCAGTACACACCTTTAGTCCTGGAGACAGAGGCAGGCAGATAGCTGTGAGTTCCAGGCCAGCCTGGTCTACAGAGCGAGTTCAGGGCAGCCAGAGGTACACAGAGAAACCCTGTCTTTACAAACAAACAAACAAATTAAAAATAAAAAAAAATAAAGGAAAAAGACTGTTATAGCCAGAGGCCAAGGACACACTGTCTCCTCCCTCCCTCGTGCCCCCGTCTCTCTGGGTCTGTGTGTCTCTGTGTGTGTGTGTGTGTGTGTGTGTTTGTGTGTCTGTCTGTCTCACTATCTCACTATGTAACACAGCTGACTTCAAATTCATGATCTTTCAGCCTCAACCACAAGGATAAAGAAAAAAAGAAGTCTGAAGACACCTATGTAACACAGCTGACTTCAAATTCATGATCTTTCAGCCTCAACCACAAGGATAAAGAGAAAAAGAAGTCTGAAGACACCATACTACTTGGTTCAGTTAAAATGGGGAAAGCAGCCACTAACTAATACAGACACAAGGCCAGGAAGTGAGTTCAGTTGGAGAAGTTAGTGTTAGGAACATGTGTTTCTGTTTTGTTTTGTGTTGTTTCATTTTAAGCCAGGTTTTGTGGCGTGCACTTGTGATCCCAGCGCTGAAGAGGTGGAGACAGGTGGATCCCTAGGACATCTAGCTTAGCAAGCTACTTGGCAAGCTCCGGGCCAGTCTTTAAAAACAAGGTACATGTGCTGGATGTGGCACGCCCCTATAATCCAGGCCCTTGGGGAGGCAGAGGCAGGTGGATCTCTGTGAGTTTGAGGCCAGCCTGGGTCTACAAAGGGGGTCCAAGATAGCTAAGGCTACACAGAGAAACCCTGTCTGGAAAAAGCAGGAAGAAACAAACAAGGTGGGTGGTACCCAACAAATGACATCCAAGAATGACTCCTGCCCCCCCCCACCATACACAATGCACTTTAATTTTTGAAGACTCTGTGTATGTAGCTTCCATGCTTACCAATCTCTGTTTTTCACACAAAGCTACTTCACCCACTCAGCTGCAGATATGTGTTGAATTCCTGCTGTGTGAGAGGCACCTGTTAGGTCAAGACATACAAATAGATGGCCTCAAGTAACTCCAAAAAGGAGGAAATGTTAATGACTAAGCTTTGCCTAGCTGTGTACCACCATCAAATGTTGCCCTGTATGAGAGGAGCAGGGAGCAACGGGTACGCTGCTGGGCAAGCTAAGATCTGTTCCTGTTTAGAGTCTGCTGAGAAACTAGGACAATGTTAGGAGAAAGAGTTTACCTATGAACTCTTATATGTAAATTGAAATATTTCAAAATCTCCAGGCTGCCACCTGTAAGTTCTTTTCGAAAATATTTCTTTTTATTTTACATGACTGTTTTGCCTCATTGTATTTATGGATACCACATGTGTGTCTGTGCCTGACAAGGCCAGAAATTGGAACTGGATCCTCTGGAACTGGAGTTAAAGACAGTTGTGAGAGACCATGTAAGTGCTGGAAATGGAACCTGGGTCTTATGGAAGAGCAGCAAGTGCTCTTAACTGCTGAGCCATCTCTCCAGACCCATCTGCTTTACTGATAGTTGGACCTCGGTAGGATGGGTTTTTCAGTCAGCTGGGAATGACGCTTCTTATGAGATTTGACCCACACCCTAAAGAAGAAACCTATGATGGTAGCTGGAAAACCATAAGGGCAAGATAGAAACTGTTTTCTCTGCTCATTTAATTTCTTACTGTTCCTTAATTAAAGAAAGTGTGTGATGGGGGTGTTGGTGATGCATGCCTTTATTCCCAGCACTTGGGAGGCAGAGGCTGGTGGATCTCTGAGTTTGAGACTAGCCTAGTTTTCAGAGTGAGTTCCAGGACAGCCAAGGCTACACAGCAAAACTCTACCTGCAAAACCAACAAAAACCAGCCAACCAACCAAACAAAAATGTGTGTTAGGCGGGGCTTTCTAGGTGAGCAGAACCAATAGGACTATGAAGATGATCTATTATACTACAAAGACAATTACTAAGCAGGCTTACAACCGATGTGGTCCGCGTAGTCTAACAATGGTTGTCGGCATGCTGGAGAGCCTGAGAAAACTGGCAGCTGTTCAGTCCCAGGAGCCAGACGCTTCAGCAGTCCCAGGGTGGCGCTGAAGGCCTAGGGGATCCCTGTAGAGTCACGGGTCCAGGCTGGCGTCTGATGTCAGTGAAGGGGTACAACAGTTGCAGCAATGAGGGCAAACACACTCTCCTCCAGAGTGAAGCAAAACAGGAAGCGAGGTGCGCTGATGTTCTATCTGTTTATATCTGGGCCACCTACTGGGAGGCAGAGTCTACTCCAGAGGAGTGTCTTCTCCTCTCAGTTAATCCTTCCTGGAAATGCCCTCCTAGTCCTGCCCATAGGTGTGTCTTTAGTTCATTCCAGATTCCATCAAGTTGACCATCAAGATTATCCACCAGGGCTGGAGAGACAGTTCCAGAGTTAAGAGCACTTGTTCTTAACCTGAATTTGTTTCCTAGCACCAATGCTGGGTATCTTACAACTGCCTGTAACTGCAGCATCAGGGAATATGACACATCCTCTGTGGGCATGTGCACACACACACACACACAAAAGTAAAATCTTTAAAAAAGTGTTTTTCAGTCAGTGAAAACTGACTCTAGAAGCATGTATGAGTCTACACCTACTGTTGTAACAAAATACCTTTTGATTGAAAGTTGCTTCTCAATGTTTTGGAGACTAGGGAATTCCAGAGCAAGACATCAACAGATTCCAAATTGGGAGGGGTGGCCCATTCAGTGATGACACATTCTTTATGAGCTCTTGAAGAGGAAGGCTAGCCAGAACCCTCTGCTCTCACAAGGGCATTTCCTTAAGAGTTAATAACCCCTTTCAAGCCCATTTCTTCTTAAGGGTATCACATGAGGGAGGGGGAGGGAAGGGACACTTTTAGGGGGTGGCAAACCAGCTCGCTTTTTGGTATTTCATTTGTTGGCTCCAATTCCTGGGATAGATCCAGAGACAGTGTCAAGTTTCCAGAATCACATTACTACTGGGCTTGACCTCCTAAATAGTCTGAGCTGGCCACCAATTCACACTTCTTGTCTGGCCTTCCAGGTGCTGGGATGACAGGTAGGCACAACCAACCCCACTTTCTGTGTCGCTTGTATTTTATATCCGGAGAGCTTTGGGATGAGAGAGAGAAGGCTGCTGGTAAGACGAATGCACAGCAAGGTGCCTGATACTAGAAAAACTAACTGCAAATGTTTATTGGCTTTTCACAGTAGATGGAACTTCCAGCGAGCTGCACCCCATCTCATTCTTCTGTCTAACGCAAAGCTCCAGAGAGATTTCACTTTGGTCTTGCTCACGCGAGGCAAGTGCCCCAAAGGTGGAATTCAAAAGAATGCGCGAGCGTGCGCGAGCTTTATTTGCGGTTGCAGCTTAGAAAGAAAAGAGAGGCTTGTCGATAACTTGGGACTGTGGAGATGGGACTGTGGAGAAGTCTTAGGGCTTTTGATATCTTGCCAGTTAGAAACAAAGCAACAAACAAAACTTTGAAGTTGAGACAAAACATTTTACGGGCACTTCAGTCTAATGCTTAGCTCCTGTCTGCTCTGTCTCTTTTCTTTTGTCTAAAGTTAGAAGCCTGAACGTCGCTGAAGTGGATTCGAAGCTTCCACAGAGACAGTCTGTTGAGCAAGCTTTCAGAAGCTGAATTTCAAAGCTGCTGGCAAATAAATAAAGCAAAGTCGTTGAACAACTGCCCAAAACAACTCGGTGACCTCATGATCCATTGGACAAATGGCGACGTTCTCGTTATCCAATCGTGGGGAAGTCCGGAGAGAACGCTCTGTGGATTGGCTAGAGCAAACATCTCTTCAGGTAGTGCCCAGTGCCAATCACAGGCCTCCCGGGGGCGGGCTTTGCCTCAGACGGCGGAGCAGAGCACGCCCGTCAACGAGGGAGTGGGCGGGGCCTCCCAGCGCCGGAGGAGCGAGCGGCAGTGGGCGTGTCCCAGGTCGGTGGGCGGGGCGCGCGTCCCGGGCGGGGCGAACGGTGTCAGCGGTGGAGCCGGATGCGGGCGGTACCGCGGCTGTGGCCGCGGCCCTAGGGATGGGCGGAGCCCCGGCCACTGGTGCTGGTGGCCGCCGCCGCTGCCCGAGCCGGAGCCGGAGCCGCCGCCTCTGCAGCTGTGCGTCGCTGCTTCGCCAGGCGGCGGGATGCTGGGGAAAGGGGGAGTCGGCGGTGGCGGCGGTACCAAGGCGCCCAAGCCCTCCTTCGTGTCGTACGTGCGCCCTGAGGTGAGAGAGCGCCGGGCGAGCGCGGTGGCGGGTGGAGCGGCCGGGGCAGGGGCGCTTCCTGCCGGGGTGCCGGGCGGGGCGGAGCGGCAGGACGCTCTGGGCCCTCCGGGCGGGCCGCGGCCCGGACCCCTGCGGCGGGCCCGGCAGGTGCTGGGGCAGGGCCCTGTCCCTCGCTGCGACGCCTATGGGCGGGGGCCGGGGAGGTCCTGCGGCTGCGGAGCCCCAGGTATCCCGGAAGGGCGCCGAAGGCTTGCGTGATCCGGACCCCGCGGGGTTCCCCTGGCAGCGCGCAGCCTGGTGGGTATGCTCTATTCTGGACTCACTCGTGAGTCTTGAGAGCTTGTCTGTCTGCTGCCTTTAGTGCCTTTTGATGCCGCAGGCGGGACCTGGTGCACAGCCTTCCGTCTCTGCTGCTGCTGCTGCTGTAGGGAATGTGGGTCGGCCCCTGGCCTCTTTCGGTATCTCCCCAGAGAATCCTCTTCACGCTTCCCATTTCATTCCCATTTCTTCACCTCTTCCAATCTGCAATTTTAGTCAAGAAGTGCATTCACTGGGGAAGTACTTTCTGAGCTCCTTCTGAGTGCCAGGTACTTATCCGAAGGCTTGTGATAAGTAACAGCGAACAGAACAAAGATCGCGTTCCCCGGGAGCTTATGTAAAGAGAGAAACAGAGTAAACGATATGCGTAAGTTATTGTATGGTATTTAGAAGATAATGGGGGAGGGCATCCTTTCATTCTGCCAAAGGTGGTATTTCTGTCAAGACTTAGAAGATATTAGTTCCAGATAAGGGGAAGGCTGCCGGTTGACAGCATGCCTGAAGCTCCCAGAACTTGGAGAAGGCACAGGCAGAAGGTTGGCGAGAGCAGACCTGGACCACTTTGAAGACTTCTGGAGCAGTTCTTTCTCTTTTAATAGACTTCGTGTTTTGGAGTTGTGTTCGTTCTGCGTCTCCGATTTTGCTTGTTTGTTTGTTTGTTTGTTGGAGACAGAGTCTATTACATAGTAGCCTGGCTGTCCTGGAACACACTGTGTACACCAGTCTGCCTTCGAAGTCACAGAGATCCGCCTGCCTCTGCCTCCTGAGTGCTGGGACTAAAGGCAGCAGTACCACCATGCCCAACTTCTGCAAATTGATCGGTAGTGTGCAGGCAGATGCTTTGCCATATTCACTCCTCCCTATGTCTTCCCACTTTCCTCCTCTGTTAAGGTGGTAAACAGGTGGTCAGGGATGAGAAACCAGAGACCTGGTGCCTGTAGCCTTTGCATATGTCCCTTGAAATCAAGACATCTAGTGGAGGGTATTAAAATGGGTCTTATGTTTAGTCTTAATTTTCAAATAAAAACTTCATCTGTCAGAAGTTGAGAGGCAGAGTTATCTTACACTTTGCCAGGCTCTCCCTGTATCCCGTAGAGGTAATGTGGTCAGTTTCTTTGAAAGTACCCTACTTGAAAAGTAAGTGATTGTAACCTCTCCTAGTGAGAGTGAGAGTAAACTGCAAGTGAAAAGTGTGGCCAGAGTTCAGGAGTGCTGAAATCTTTCATCTGAAAGTTCACTCTTTGGCCACAGGTCCTACTGTATTTCCTTAGAGAGGTAGTGGGAAAAGTAGTGGTTCAGCTCACTGAAGTCACAGTTTTGGGGTCTTTTTAGAGGGCATTTTCTTCTTTTTTTCTTTTGCATTTAAAACAGTGCTGTGAGGATGCTGAGCATCTTTGCTGTAGTTTGTACTGGATAACATTGTCTGCTCAACTGTGCATGGTTTATTAAAAGGTAATTGTAGGAGGAGGTGAGAAAGCAGTTTATTTTTAAGTAGATAGCTTTGCTAGCCATTTGCACTACCGGAAACGGATGAGCAGAACTGAGAGTGTTGCTAATGTGGCTTAGAGCCCTGAGTCCAGTACCCTCTTGGTTTACCCAGTGGAAGGTATATGTGTATTTTATTTATTTTTGGTCTTTTGCTGTACTATCCTAAACCCTATCAGTCTAAAGAGGCCCAGTGCCACCTGATACTGGTTTTTCCCTGTGGGCAGTTGTAGAGAGAAAGAGCACAGGGCTTCCACCATGATAACAAGTGCTCTACCACAGAGCCACGTACCGTCCCATCACCTTTCTTTGTACCGCTTTTCCTGGCTGTGAATTTTACAGTTCCTTGGATGCTTGCTTGTTGGCAGATGACTAGTTGCCAGAACCTTTACACCTTTTAGTGTAGTGATGCATGCTCTTGGTGATAAGCGAGCTGATCAGATCTTGGAACTTCCAAAGATCTGTGTGCCAGGTATGACTCTGAAGGCTTGTGATAAATATCAGTGTAGAGAACAGAAGCCTTCAGTAAGCCAGAATAGACTCCATCAAGAGTCAGCACTTTCTGTTCCAAAGTACTGGGTAAAGTATTGAAGTTGTTAAACATGATCACATTTCCCCCTTGTGATCCAGAAGGACTGCAGCTGATGGCCTAACATGGAGGGTAATAGTTAACTCTGGCTTTTTTTTTCTCTGCCAAAGTAACTTGAGTTGTTTTGTCATTGATTCTCCTAGGTCACTGAGTATGACAGGTAAAGTAATCCTAACCCTTTGGTCATGTTTTGTAATCTGTTCAAAGGGTTATTATTAAGTGGGAAGCTGATGGTTCTGGAAGTTGAGGTCTGTAGGAGGCAGGAATCTTGGGCTACCTTGCTACTTGGTTCTGATGCCCAGAAGAAAGATCTCCGCACCCCTACTATATAGCTCAGCCTCCAGGGCAGGTTGCAAAGAATGTCTGGCAGGGTGCAGACTTGTTGAGTTATGTTCCAGGGAGCCTTCTGGTGATAGTTTGAGTATAAAACCACTTTTCATGTGAAAATGGAACACCTGTGTGAATTATTATGTCAGGAGCCAAAAGTGTTCATTGTAGAAAAGTGAGATGAAGTTACACACACACACACACATACACACACACACGCACAAATAAGTAAAAGTGAGAAACTTGTGCTGGTGGTTGTGAGGTCTTGCAGAGGACCCGAGTTTGCTTCTCAGCACCAGCAGCACCTCACTACCACCTGTAACTGCAGATCTGGGGTACCTGAAGGCCTCTTCTGCCATCCTCAGACACACGCTTGTGGCAGACAGTCACACACACATACACAAACCTAAAAATAAGTCTTAAAAAAAAAAAAGACTGATTTGGTGCCAGCCACACATGTAAAGATGTGTGCAGAGGAGATGGCACGGGGCGTAGAGGGCCTTGCTGTAAACCTGAGTCCAACCTATGGGGCCTTCATGGCGTGGAAGGGGAGAACCATTTTCCTCAAGTTGCCCTTTGACTTCCGCACTGTGGTATGTGAGCACCCATACACAAACGCTGTAAAAAAAAGTTAAGAAATGACAAACTTGCTAACTAATATATCCCGTCCATTATATGCGTACAATATGTGAGCATGAAAGCAGCTTATCAAAATTGAAGTAATATTACCAATCATATTCTCAGCTGCCTTTTTCACCAGAAATGCATATTGGAAACATCTCTCTGTGTCAGTTGTTGGACTTTGTGTCTCAGTAGAGACATGGCGACAGGAGAAGCTGGGCAGCACAACCCGCCTGGAAAAGCTGACTTTGGATGGCTTTGTACTTAGAAACCGATGCTGGATGACAGACAGCTCTGATTCTTCACAGTTACCAGTTCTTTGCCTGGCTACCTTGGCGTTTTAAAAAGGGTTTGTTTTATTTTATGTGTATGAGTGTTTTCCTTGCATGTGAACCACGTGTTCTTGGTGCCCAGGGAGGTCAGAAGATATCATGTGGACCCCTGCAACTGGAGTTCCAAATGGTTGTAAGTCACCTTTTGGGTGCTGAGAACCAAATCCAGGTCTTCTGCAAGAGCAACAAATATTCTTAACCTCTGAGTCATCTCCCCAATGTTTTTGGTCATTTTTAATGACTAGGTATGCCCCAAAGCTTGTACAGAAAGGACAAGTAGACAGTACTAGGAGGAAGATGGGCTTGGACAGAAGTGCATTCCTCTGTGATAGGATGCTAAGTAGAAGGCTTCATGGTGCTCGTGTGTTCTTTAAAACCCACCTGGAAAATGTTAGCTCTCAGAGTGCTGCCATGCACGCTCGGTTTTACATGGCATTCCAAATATGGTTAAAATGTACTTGCTCGTGGAGTTTAGTCAGTGTTTGACTTGGATATACTAATAATAGTACCAGAGACTTGTTTTGTGGATTTTTTTTTTAATTGGAAAGAAAATATAAATTGCCCTCCTTATAGGTGAGTCTGCAGGGTTGCTGAACAAAGAACTGTGTCCTAAAGAGCCAGTAGTGACAGGGCCTCGCCAGGCCCATAGGAACTCAGGAAAGGTTTTGTATGGTCCTGAGAATATAGAAAAGCAAGCCAGGAAGCAGCATTCCTCCATAGACTTTCCTCAGTGATGGATTGTGATCTGGAAGGATAAGCCAAAATGAAGCCTTTCTTCCCCAAGTTGCTTTTGATCAGAGTGTTAAATCATAGCACTAGAAACACCAAGACAGGGAGAAAAGGTAAGAAGAGAGGTGGAGATGGAAAAGGTTTTTTTGTTTTTTTTTTAAGTTGTAAAAGCGGTGCTTT